GGTGGTCCCTGTTCAAGCAAAACGTTCGTGGAATGTTGAAGGCAGAGAGTATTTTTTAAAAAAGATGAGCAAAATTTCTCAAGGGGGATGAAGGCTACACTCCCTGTTGTTTAGCTACAGGAGGATTAGATGTGTGAGGAATGTCTCCCCCCTCCCATGATACTTCATTAATCTTGTCAATATTCTACTTACTTCCTTTGGAATCCCCACAGATGCGCTGCTATCAAAATACAACACACAAACACCGATGTTCAGTCAAACTGCTTATGGCTGCTTCACTTGCACAGAGCCTAGGAATTTTTGCCTAGGAATTGCTTTTTATAACAGCAGTGGAGAAAAAGTAGTGCTCCAAGTATTGCCAGACATTGGTCATGCTGGGCAGGGCTGCTGGGAATTTGAGTCCAACAAATCATGAGTATCACAGATTCATCACCCTTCTTTACACAGAACACAAAAGCAAAACCTTATAAGTGATCCATGCATTGAACTGTTCAAATTAAGTCTTGGTAAATTCACTGGTGGTGTTTTAAATAATGAAATGAGTCTTTGTTCTAACCAAGTGTGCAAAAGACATGTATTTCATAAAATCATATAATGATGATGTGACTATTTCTGTGCTGTGAAGTGCCCAGAGATCTATGGATGAAAGGCAGTACAGGCAACTCCCAATTTAGGTGCATCCAAATGATGCGCCGAAACTCAAAGCGGCCACAAAATATCATCAAGACATCATGGAAAGGAGCAGAATGGGGGGGGTGGAGTGGGCTTATGTGTGCAGGAGTCCGGAATGGAACCCCCACACAAAATGAGGGTTGCCTGTATACAAATTTAATGAATTGCATTACATTAAAAATAACATTAAAGGTAAAGGGACCCCTGAATATTAGGTCCAGTAGTGGCCGACTCTGGGGTTGCGGCGCTCATCTCGCTTTATTGGCCGAGGGAGCCAGCGTACAGCTTCCAGGTCATGTGGCCAGCATGACTAAGCCACTTCTGGCGAACCAGAGCAGCACACAGAAACGTCGTTTACCTTCCCGCCGGAGCGGTACCTATTTATCTACTTGCACTTTGATGTGCTTTTGAACTGCTAGGTTGGCAGGAGCAGGGACCGAACAACGGGAGCTCACCCCGTCACAGGGATTCGAACCGCTGACCTTCTGATCGGCAAGTCCTAGGCTCTGTGGTTTAACCCACAGCGCCACCCGCGTCCCACAAAAATAACATTAAGGCAGTTATTATGAGGTCTGGAAAAAAATGGATTTGGATTCAGTTAAGCTACAATACAAGTGGAAGACAGTGCTAGGGCTCCCACTAGTTAAATGGGACTTCACCTCTTTCCTCTTCCCATGCTCCCTGCGCCTCTCCAGATCTACTCTGGAGAGTTAGGAGAACCCCCAGAACAGCATGTAAGGGGAGCAGAGGGAAAACATTTTGTCTGGCAAGCAGAAATGATTGTCATGACAGAAAGATCAGAAGAGCATGGTGTTGAATTCCTCCCCAAATCGTTACAAAACTCAGTGCTATTTTTCTAGAAAAAGAGGTGCCGGAACTCACCACAAACACCTCCCTCACTCTCATAGAAAGGCGACTAAGTTCCGGCAAGTTCCAGCTGAAAGAAAGCCCTGACAAAACCCATATTCTTAAAGCTGGCTGCTGCTTTGAATTTTAATCTTAAATGTATCTAAGACTTGCTATACTGATGCTCATTCAGTATTTGATTAAAGTCATGAGCGGGAAAGAGTGGGCTGTGTTTGTGGACCCTGTCCTTGCATCATTGCTGCCCACACCACTGTGGGGCAGGGGAAGTCTGAAATGGAGAACCCATTGCACACATATAGGCTCCTTATGGAATTTTGAACTATGCACAATCAGGTTTCTAAACCGAGTGGGGAGCCTGCATGTGTGGAGTAGGCTCCTGCTTAAGACTTCCCCTCCAATGAATGGACTGGGTTTAGGGGGCAGAGCCAGTGAAAACACCATGGCAAGGTCAGCGAGGACAGCCGCCCTCTTACCTTTATGCAGTCGTAATCACGTGATTACTAAAAGGGCTAGTGAGACACTCTAAAGTCCTGTAATCTTGGAAGCAGAGGAAATGTTTTGCCAGGTTACTAAATACCTGCAAGTGCATTAGTTTTGCAAATATCTAGTCACGATAAGGTACATGTATTCATCATTAAGTAATGAATTACTTGTATTATTATCTGAGAGAATTAGTATGAACTGGTCATATTACCTTCCTTCCTCAAACATGGCCAGTGTTTTTTCCATTAAAAAAAAGATACAGTAATTTGAAAATGAAGATATCAGGCGCCTGCTTCTCTTAGGAAAGCAGCCTCTTTTCTAGTTCATAATATGCTCAATTGGCTTTAGATTGATCTGTGAATAAATTATAATCGAAACAGGCTTATTCACCTTAAAGCTTTGCTGGCTTAAGGTTTCATTGTTGATTCATTATGTTGTCAGTTCTCTATTGGCAGTCTAATGCTTTTTATATCTAGATAGAAACAGTTCTACTGGTAGATACTGTTATCTTTAAATGAGTAGGATTTAGCTTATCCAGTGAGAACAAATTCATCAATGATGAATCCCTGGAGAAATACTGAAACAAAAATCACATGGTTGCAGGAGATTTGTACACTTCATCAGTTACAAGGTTGCTTTTGGAAGCTGAGTGCCAGAGATTTACTTTTGGATAAAAAGGGGAGGCAAGAGAAAAGCCCTGCACTGAAACCAGAGGGACAGGGAGTTCTGCCACATTTCACACTGGGATACGTTGCCATCCTACAAATTATTCTGATCTGTACTGTCTATATCAGGGTCAGACTGCCAGTTCTCTTCAAACCCCATCATCAGGATCCAGCACTGGGTCATCTTCAAGGCCACCCCAAGACACATTGTTGCTTCAAGTGAAGGACAATGTGTGTTTCTTTCCCTTCCTCTTTCAATCCGAAGAAGAGCTCAGATGAGGTACTGAAAGGACAGCTCCATCAGGATACAGCTCGTACCATTTCTCTTCCCAACCCTTAAAGATGTACAATAGTCTTCCTCAAAGAAAGTCACAGGTCCAAGAATGCAGACCTTATGTGGGCAAAATGTACAGCTCAACAAACAGTTCTCCTGGATATGTCAAATAGGATCAGGGATGTTGGAAGAGAGATAGATATCCCAGATACATTTCCTTTGGGGTGACTTCTTGGATGCGGTCAATATGGGGTGTGGAATATGTGGCTGATCATAGAGAATTTTTCAGTTTAAAGTGGGATTATATGATCTTCAGGTGGTAATCTCACCATATGGTTGTTTTGATGGAAATGAACGTAATGTGAATAGAGGACAGTATCCAGCTAAACAGTTCCACTAGTGCAATGACATTTCCCTGCCTTTTCCTCTAACTGCATGCTTCTTGCATGCCCTGTAAATCTGCTCTGGGACATTGGAACAGTGCCCACACCTGTTCCCCCTGCACACATATTCTTCTATTATTATTATTATTATTATTATTATTATTATTATTATTATTATTCTCATCTGACTGGGTTGCCCCAGCCACCCTGGATGGCTTCCAGCAAATAAAAATATCAAACATCATCCAGATGTCCTCTAAAAGTCGGATAGTTGTTTATTTCCTTGACATCTGACTGGAGGGCGTTCCAGAGGGTGGGCATGACTACCAAGAAGGCCCTCTGCCTGGTTCCCTGTAGCCTCACTTCTCGCAGTGAGGGAACCACCAGAAGGCCCTTGGAGCTGGATCTTAGCATCTGGGCTGAACAATGGGGGTGGAGACACTCATTCAGGTATTCTCTTGAACGCATGAAGAGGGCTCCTGAAGTATGTGATGTGGTACCATTGCATAGAACATTGTCCTGCCTATGCTACACTTTCTTAGCTGCTGGTAACTCTACCTGGAGATACCAGAGATTGAGCCTGAAGCCTTCTACATGCAAAGCATATGCTGTGTCATGAGTTATGGTCCTCCTCCTTAGGTGGAAGATCACAATGACCTTCATGGGTTGCAAGGAACTTTAATGGATTGGTGGTGTAGAGTCATTATCTGTAGGTACTGGTGTGCTTAGAAATTGGAGCCGGCGTTTATAGGTTTCTGGCTGGAAGTGGAGTATTTTGGAGCTTAGTATTCTTTCCCTTTGCTGCATTATATGAAAGAAGCCCAGAGGCTAAAGATTAAGAAGCTCAATGAGGTCAAATAGTGAAATGAATAAAATTAGCACTTTCCAGAGTTTGCTTGGAACTGGCTGCCATTATAGTAACCGATCCAATATCCCTTTAAGCGCCATGTCAAAATAATCTCAGAGCATGCTTTATAAAGTTAGCTAGCAAATCCATTAGCTGGAAGGGGAAACTGATGTAAAGCATTAAGCAAATGGAGGTTTCTCACCCAAGTTCTATGAATCTTTAGTGCATAATATTCCCTGCACCATAATAATAAACATAGAGTGAATTTCATTTATTTTAATGAGTGATGTGTATTTTTATATAGCAGGACCCTCGTGATACATACCCCAAAGAAATGCAATAACTGAGGGACAGATTATCCCACTACCAAACTTTCCAATTTTTGTTGTTGTCCATACATTGCAGTCTTTATCCATGGTTGATTGGTTTATTTGTTTTGCATCATGACTAGTGGTGCTGATAAAACTCCTATCAAAAAATTTATTGGAGGAATTGTGACTAACTGGCTAAGAACCAAAAGGATATAAAAACGCACACAACCTAGCACAATTTTTACTATTAAAAAAACCTTTCTTAAACAAGTTTTCATAGATTGATGAATATATGTTTTAATTGGATAAATATGCATGTGGCACTTTTAAAATGAAGAAGGTGGATAGCCTCCCTGAAGCATGGGAGAAGGGAAAGAAAGATAGATTCGGCATTCAAATCATTGATCATGTCTGTCAAATGTGGAATGAAATCATTTGCTCTCACTGGGGCCACTGTTTTCTATACAACAGTAATGGCATGCTTTCTATTTCTTTTAGAAACTTCCTAGTTTTGGCCCCTACCTTGAGCAGCGCAAGAAGATAATAGCTAAGTCCAAAGTGAACATGATGGAACAGAGCACCCTGGTTTCCCAGCTTGAGAGAAAACATCTTGCTCCTAAAAAGCCCATCCCAGCTGTGAAAGTAAGTAGCATCACAGAATGTGGGCCTCTTGTACAAAGTGTCGTGGTTCAGTGGTGTGAGTTTGGGATGGTTTGTGGTTGTCATATGCACTGGAACAGTGACGGAAGAAAATTAAATCCTACAAGCCTTTAGGAGATGCAACGCCAGCCTTATGTGAGGGTGTTTATTTTTTGAAAAACAGAATGTATGTGTCTGTGTGAAATAAGGACAGGGGAACCTGCAGATGTCCAACTCTCCTTAGCCTCAGCTAGCATGTCCAGTAGTCAGGGATGATGGGAATTGTAGTGCAGTAATATCTGAAGAGCCATAGGTTGATTTAAATGGCCTGATTTAAATGGCTGGCATACAATTTCTGTTCTCATTCTGAGGTAAAGTTCTTAACCTGAGGTAGTACTTCCAGGTTAGTGGAGTCTGTATCCCGAAGTGTTTGTAACCCAAGGTACCACTGTACACCATTTTACCTTATGTGCCTTCTGCTTTTCGACTGTCAAGTTGATACAAAAAACCAGATTATTCTGGGATGAGAGAGATCACCTTGGGGTAGTTTGGTGATACATGCAGAATCCAGATTAATTCATGTCTGTTAGTAGTAAGCATCCCATATAAAGTAGCAGGTGAGTGTCATAGGCAAAAGTGGGGCCAGTCTTTTTCATGCTGGATACATTGATGGGAAGGGACTTGTGAACAACACAGCTAACTGCAAACTGTATGCTCTCAATTTGGAGGGAACCCAAGCCCCAATCAGACATTTCACCCATATGTAATGCATTTTTTTAGCCAGAGTGCACCAGGTACTCTGCTTCTTGCCTTTACATACTTCTTAAAAGCCCAAAATGAACATTTCAAGTTAAAACGGAATCTGGCCAACGCGGGGTTTTTTGTTTTTTAGATCTATGACTCCACCTAGCTCCTGGCTGCTCCTAGCCATGATTGGTCAAGCTATGGGGCATGGTCAATTCATATTTCCTTTTCTTCAGTCCATCTCCCATGTAGCAGTGGTGGGCTTTAAGCTTTCCAGCCCTTCCGAATTGTCCTAGCCATCCGCCTGAATCTAAAAGAATGAGGGACAAATGGGGCACATTTATTTGGCCTGCACCAGAACCAGGGGCGACCCCCAAACCAGCTAGGGAGACAGCTTGCAGTAGTTTTAGCACCCTCTGCAGGCAGTGAACACAGTTGTTGTCAAACTGGCATCTGTTCAGGGCTGCCCCAAGTTGTCCTGTGACTTACTATAACAACTTCATGGCACGTTCCAGCACCTATTTTTTTTTGGGGGGGGCACTGCCCATATGTGATTAACAGTTGTAGGCGGAGAAATAAGGCATGACTAAGGCAGGTGGTGCTGTGGGTTAAACCACTGAGCCTAGGATTTGCTGATCAGAAGGTTGGCGGTTCAAATCCCTGCGACGGGGTGTGCTCCCGTTGCTCGGTCCCAGCTCCTGCCAACCTAGCAGTTTGAAAGCACATCAAGTGCAAGTAGATAAATAGGTACCGCTCTGGCGGGAAGGTAAACGGCGTTTCTGTGCACTGCTCTGGTTCGCCATGCTGGCCTCATGACCCGGAAGCGGTACGTTAGCTCCCTCAGCCAATAAAGCGAGATGAGCGCCGCAACTCCAGAGTCAGTCACGACTGGATCTAATGGTCAGGGGTCCCTTTACCTTTAAGGTTCACAATCACAGTGGGAGCCTTTGAGTACTCAACAGGGTTCTCCTCTGCAGACGTACCTCCATGTGTGAATGATGGAGGTGAGGCTGCTAGAGATACTACAGAGGTCCTGGTGGGACTGGTCCCCTCTCCTGGCTTCTGCAGTTGTTAATCCTATGAGGGGGAAATGCCTGTGAATGGTGTTATAGCCTCATGTATGTCTGGACTCCTTCTCTTTCCCATTGCTTACATTTTGGCAGTGTTTCTCAACCTGTGGGTCCCCAGATGTTGTTGGACTACAACTCCCATCATTCCTAGCCAGCATGACCAGTGGCCAGGGATGATGGGAGTTGTAGTCCAAAAACATCTGGGGACCCACAGGTTGAGAACCACTGCATTAAGGGAATGTACCCTCCAGATGTTGTCAGACTACAACTCCCATAAGCCCCAGACAGCATGACAGAAGGGGTTGATGGCAGCTGGAATCCAACCTCATCATCTGGAAGGCACCACGTTGGTTTACCCTTGACTTACATCATACTGATAGTTCAAACAGCTCTATTCTGATATTGTTCCGACTGCAAGCCTTTTCTCTGTGTACATGGAAACACCCAGCAAATATCGTTGTTTGTTTGTTTTGAAAGAGGCTTGAAGCTTTCAAAGACTTCTCTCACCTTAGGGGTTTTACTAGGTTGTTTTTTTTTATTTTCGGGGGGAAATATTGATGTAATTGTCAGAGAGAAGAACACCTGCCGTTTCAATGAGGGCTAACTTTGCCACAGCAGATGAAACAAGAACAAATACTGGAGAGGTGTGAAAGGGCAGGCAGTGTTTGGGGGTGGAGAGACTAGAAATATATCAGGCATTTTGGTAGGAAAGGAGAGAACGTAGTAGAAATATATAAGATATATATACCACAATCTTAACAGGGCACTGATACTGATCTAGGCCCTGAAATGATGAAAAGAGGAAAAAATAAGATAGGCAAAGAATAATACTTAATAAGTCATATTGAGGTTTCAAAAAGCAGGATACAAACATTTTATTTTATTATCAGATATTGCAATTACTATCATATAATGACCAAGTCAAAATCCTAGAACAAATCCATATGAACCCTAGAACAGCAGGTAAAAAATAGTAAAAAAATACCACTCAGAATTGAAGCTCTGCAGGGGGAATGGGGTCTCCTAGCAACTCTGTACCCTTAAAAAACCTCTCTGGAGAAGCTATGAGTGTTTGAAGTAGTGTGATACTGCTTTGAATGTATAGTGCAGGTGGACCTTAGACACTTTGACATGATATATGTTGGCAACAGCAGACTTCACTGGACTAGTAATTGAAATTGCCAAGTGCAAAAAGAAAAATGAATTTTTAAAAATACTATGCTTCCGTTAGGAATTCTTGCAAATTCAAATTTCAAATTCTGCCGCACAGCTTCCTGTTGGAGACCTCCCAGGCTAATTTGCAGACTGGAAAGTAGTTATCCACTGCCTTTTGCACTTCCTGAATATTCCAATACAGTTCTTAGTGCCTTCATCCAGCCCCAAACCACCTCCATGGTTTGGAGTGCCTTTGATTCAATCAACCAATAATTAAATCAATCAATAAAGTTTAGCAATTCACAACTGGAGATAAAATATATTTAGAGATGTTTTCTGAAGGAAAATACAGATACTTTTAAAAATACTTAAATATGAATTTTCACACATTAAAAAAAAGTCTCTTATTAATTCAGACATGGGACTGATGAGCACATGCAAAGGTGGCACAAACTCAAAGACTAATTCACCCATTCCTAGCTTCACTACAATGGCCCAGTGTTTAATGAGAGGCTGCAGAACTGGAATGTATTAGCAGGTTTAAATCCATTCCTCAGCACCTGGGCGAGGTTGATTTGAGTTTGGGACTGCCCCGGCCCTTGATCTCCCCAAACCTCCATTGTTTTCTCCTCATCCCTGTCATCACCTGTCAGCTTAACGTGTTATGTCCCCACCACCACTTTCACTCAAGGTATTTCCCTGACTAGGAGATTGCTACTAGGCAACACTTTGTGTAACTAGCGCTAGAACACACAGAACATTGATGATATTCCCAGCTGAGTGTAAGCAGCCCGTAAGTGCCTCCCACAACTCCTCTCAGTTCGCAATCCGTGTACAATAAACACTTTAGCCAGCAATAAGCTCTCTCCGTTGGGGTGTTCTTCGTCAGCGAGTGTCATATTATTTTCTTAGTATCTGATTTCCTCATGACATCCAGAGGATACTTGTGGCTTCTTATTTTCTTAAGCTCCTTTTATCTGTATACACCCTCCAAATACTCTTCCCTCTCCATATTTCTCATTTATTTTCCCTTTTTCTTACTAGATCTTGTGAGCTTTTCTCATCACTTCATTTCCCCCTTCTCTTTAGGGCCAGTGTTACCTGTTTAATGATATTGCCATTCCAGCTGCAATACGACTGTTTTTACCTCATAGCTCCTTCCCACTACTGGCTTCTCTGTGAAGATTATCCTGTTTGTTGGTTAAAGCCTTTGACCTGACTTTCTTCATCTTAGTGAACACAGTATGGTGTGGCCTTTACAAGTCTAGCAGAGGTGGTTTTAGGGTAGTGTGGTTTAAGGGTAGTGCCTCTGCAGACGGCGCCACAACAATGCTGTAGAATGGATCGCGGCTCATTCCGCCTAATGGTAGTGCTAGCCCTGAGCTCCAAGTTTCCCCCAAACACAGTTGGAATAGCTTATTAGATTCCTTCTGTTTTTAATTTCCTTTTCCTAATTATATCCTGGACTCATTAAATCTACACCAACTGAAGACTAGTGCAATGAACAGGACCGCACGTGCATATAAATGACTTAATCGAATATGATGGGTAGGATCTAATGTAACCACTTTGTTATGGCTATTTTCTTACAACTTTATCACTGAAGCTTTTCCGCATCTCCATGTTCTCTCAGATGACTGAAATTCCTTGGCCTTTCCACAGAGTAGGATGTTACTCCTCAGAATAAATACACCCCCTTTTCCTCCATTTTGGCAACTTTGCTCCCATCCCTCTTCCCTCCCATCAGACATTTATTCCCTCCCCTCTGTTTTTGTCTAATTTTCCCCCCCCCCCCGCATTTCTCCATTGCTGTTGATTAATAACTGCTTGACATATCTAATCTGCAAATCTTTCATTTTCCCAGATATTGTGCTGTACACCAAAATAGCTCTTTTCATTTTAAAATGAACAATGCGACTTTTCAGGCACATGTGTGCTCCCCTTGAGTATGTCTTCTGGGAGACATAATACAAGCATTGTGTTGGAGCCTTGGATAAAAGAATTCCTCTTAATTTATGCCCTGGTCTCTTGGGT